GTTGTAGTTGTTGTTGTTGTAGTTGTTGTTGTTGTTGTGGTGGTGGTGGTGGTGGTGTCACAGGTGGTGGCAGCAGCTTCAAACGAAACGAAGCAGGTGAGAAACACTAGTCAGGTACAAACCCTGTAGCTGCAAAACCCAGAGTTTCTAGGTGCTCAACCCACGTTTGAGCATCCACGCAGCACAATGATGCTATTCGACATGTCGGTTGTGGACATTTCCACGCAGTGTGTACACACACACACATCTTTTTATATGGCGCATCGTGTATATCTATGCATATACACCTAAATTATCAACCGTTCTGTACCTGCATAGCCAGAGAGAGAGAGAGAGGGAGTTGCATACATGAGTGTATATATATATAATATGTATGTGTGTATTCATATATGTATATGTATATATGTATATATGTATATATGTATATATGTATATATGTATATATGTATGCACATGTAGACATACACACCGAGGTATGTTCATAAACATACATGTTATATAATATCTGTACAAATTCACACCTTCAAAATCATGTCTTTATGCGTTGATCTGGTCAGCAGCAACTTTGCAAGAGCCGCCGAGGACCCCACCACAGCGGGAGTCAAGATCTACTCTCAGGCTCACATCATGGTTTTTATAGTAATCATTATCATGGTTGTTAGCATTATTGTTGTTAGTATCGCTATGGTATTATTATTACTATTAGATTAGCATTAGTATTTTATTTTTTGTTATTGTGTTTTGTAGCGTTTGACCATGTGGTTTTGCAGAGTTTTAAGCAAACGGATACTGGTTGGGGAGTTTCCAGAGTTTTTTGTGCAGCAGTCTAAACAGGGGTTGTAAGGGCGCGGCTCTGTCAATCACGCATCCTCAAGCTAAGCCGCGAGAGGTAGTGTTTTTGTGGTTTTTCAGGAGGAATGTTTGATAGTGGCCCCTTACATTCCCGATATGGTTGTACTGCAGTCCTTTTCGAGAAGTCGTGTTCTAGATTTCAGTCCCTTTATTACAGAGACGAGCCAGCAGAAGCACGGTATAGTAGCATAGAAATTCGGTAACTATAGGCTATAATCTGTAATGTTGAAAAGTGTAGCAAAATCGTGGCAAGTCAACAGGTGCAAGATGTGTTTGTCATCGAGGCCACACAAAGTCGCACATCCCGCGTGCCACATTTGGGTGACGGCTCCAAGAGGGCTCGGCAAATTAACGAGCATGGCGGTTAGCAGAAGCTGTATCATCCTCACCATAAGTTCGCAACTCGGCGCTCACAGAAATTTGAGGCGAGCGACGCAACACAGTTGACACCTTCTCTGATGGCATCCCACTACGTTACAAGGGTCTTAAAGAGAACAACAAGGATTCTACGGGGGTCTTGGCTGCGCATTCCATTCCGAGGGCGAAGAGTGTCCCGCACCATGCACGACACGCACAGCACTCAACGAGTATCTTCTACGTCTCGCTACAAGCAGACAGGCATTCCCGAACCCGGGTACCATTAAATGGGTGATTCTCTAAATTAGGGTCGATTATTAGGTCCCCAAAATAGTAGGGCACCCTTATAAACAGGACACATAAACCCCAAACTACCATTCAATATTGAACACTTCCTAGACCCTCGATCCTGAAGCATGTTCTTTGTTTTCTGGGCGGCTTGTTGGTGCAATATTGAGTTTAGGATTTAGGGCCACGGTTTGGGGTTTAGGGTTTAGGACTTAGGGTTTAGGGGGGGCCTGGCAAGAAACGGAAGCTTCCGCCTGCCTAGCTCTTCTCAGTGATGGGAGAAGGGGACTTTAACACGGACAAGCCTTAAATCCTAGCTTCAAGATGCCTAATATAGAGTCCTAAATTACTACCAATATGATTCTTTAGGGTTCCTTGTTATACCCTTTTCTATAAAGGAGCCCAAAACCCTGTTCTAACGAGTAAGGTCCCTAGATGAAAGAACTGCAAGCCTTCAGCCCTACGTCCGAACCCCTGCATCCATGTAAATCCCAAATCGCCTTGAACTTATGGCGGTTTAGGGTTTAGGGGTTTAGGGGTTTAGGGTTTAGGGCTTAGGGCCTTATGGATCCCTTACTTACGGAAGCCTTAAAAGGAACCCTTATAGATCCTTTCTTTACAGGATCCCTTTTTGATCCCAGAAATCTGAGGCTTATAGATCCCAGAGAACTCCGAGAGATAGATTTTTTTTTAAAGGGATCCCGTATCGATCCCAGAGAAATCCGAGAGGCCTTGAACATGGAGATGAATCAGCTTGTGGAGCCCGGCAGGTCGTCGATGACCTACGTGCAGCCTGGCCTCAAAGGTTGGTAACTTCGTAGGAACCTTCGGGTTCCTTTAAAGGGTTTAGGGGTCCTTCATAGGGTTTTTTAGGGGGGTTCCTTTATAGGGTTTCTTAGGGGGTGCCTTTAAAGGGTTTAGGGGTTTTGGGTTCCTTTACTAATTTACAGGGTTTCTCAGGGGGTTCCTTTAAAGGGTTTAGGGGTTTAGGGTTCCTTTACAGGGTTTCTTAGGGGGTTCCCTTACAAAGGCTAAAGGGTGGGCTCTACAAGGGCGCAGTTTGGGTTTAGGGGTTTAGGGTTCCTTTCAAGGGGATCTTAGTAGTAGAGTAGGTAACCTTGAACCTTTTTGGGGGACCATATTCCCTCGGAGTTGAGGGCTTTAGGGAGTCCCGGGACCATGAGGAACGTCCCAAAATGGGTTAGGATATCGGGTTTTGGGGGGAGGGGGAGGGGGGTTAAGCCAACGGTTAAGCAGTTCCAGGAACCCGCAAACTCACGACTCCAGAGCCCGCAACTACAGGGGTTTAGGGTTTCGGGTTTTGGGTGGTTAAAGCGTTGAAGCTAAAGCCACGCTGCGCACTCGCCCAGTGAACAGCAACCGTGGACGTACACCTCAACCGTCGCGGAATCCGGCCATGCAATTCTCGCGGGTCGTGCCCCACCCAACTCAGCTGACAACCTCCAACAACAGAGTTCTTCAAAAAACCAGCTGACTGACTTAATTAGAGCAAGCAGAGAATGCTGTGTGTCCTTGCATGAGCATATTTGCGTGCCGGTGTGCAAGGGCGTCCCCGGCCATGGTGTTTAGCATTGAACCAATTTGTGTTCTGAGATTGACGAGCGAAGACCTTCTTTATTGACATCATTATTACCCTAACCTCCTCGGTACCTCCTGCATAGGGCCCTAGGAGCTCTAGTACCTTATATAGTAGGTACCTGGGGGTTAGGGTTATACGCTCTCTCTCACCATCGGCTTCTAACCTTCACTGCTCCATCCGAAGCGGGACGAGGGCTCTTCTAAGGACTGTATCGTGGTCAGCAGCGGTAGCATCGCACGTTCTGCTCAGCCGCTAAGGAAGACCCACGACACGACGCAAGAAGAGAGTGACTACAACCACCTTCGCCATGAATGGTTCGTGACTCGCAGCGATGGCCAGTTCGACATGCCTATATAGGAATATAGGCGTCAAAGTCAATACCACTGTGGGGGGTTCCTTATTATATGTTTATAGTATAGTAAAAGTAGGAAAACACCAGAAAACCCTATTCAAAATTGTTTAAAGCCCCCATATTAGTCAAGCTAGGGGATGCCGGCCGCCGCACGGAAAGAGCGAACCGGTTTGAAACCGGGGGGGTTCCTGCCCCACAAAGGGCTTTATACAATTACGAATGCTATTTTTTGGGGCGGGGTTGGGGGCTCCTTAGTATAATTATACCATGCTGGGCCCCCAAAGCCCTATTCGAATTATTACGGTCCCTATATTAATATTCCCAATGCTGCATCCTGCTGGCTCTAGTATCCTGGACTTCATGACCTCCAATCGTCTGCGAGCTGAGTCAGTCATAAACACATCGCCACAAACATCTGCTTTGGCAAAACGTGTCAGGAGGCATCTTTACGTAGGGGTCTCGAGCCAGCGGAGCCTGACAAGTTAACTACGGTTGATACAAGTCCTGCATCACCCATAATAAGGAATATACCATAATTCCCATAGCATAGGGTCCTTCAGGTCATGCAGGATTTATAATATCAACAGTATTATCTGCTTCTTGGCCCGTCATTCGCTCTCACCGCGAGCTTTGAGTGGCTCCAGCATGCCCAGGTGATGTACCTGTCCTCGCAGGCTCTCGAGCCTGCACACCAGGGTGCCTTGGCACGCTTGAAAGAGCTCTATACAATGGCTCTATAAGGGTCTTGTAAGGGTTCGGTTTAGGGTTTAGGGTTTAGGGCTTGATTCAGGGTTTTGTGAAGGTTCGATATATAATGGCTCTACCCATGGGCCCTGAAGTAGTTCCTTTTTGGGATTGCCTTACAGGATTCTAAATATAAACCACGAAAAGGAACTACTTAGGAGCCTTTGGTATAGAACCCTAAACCCTAAACCCTAAACCCTAAACCCTAAACCCTGAACCTTAACACTCAACCCTAAAGACGACGTGACAAAGGCAGTGTCGAAGCTCTGGTCAAGGGCTGGTTTAGGGGTTTAGGGTTCAGGGGGTTTAGGGTTTGGGGTTTCGGGTCCCTTTTAAGGGGTCCTTAAAGGGATCTAGTTTAGGGTTTGGGGGTTTAGGGTTTAGGGGTTTTGGGGGTTTACGGGCTTAGTTTAAGTTTAGGGTTTTTTGGGGTTTGGGGGGGGGTGTAGGGCTTCAGGGTTGAGGGTTTAGAGGTTCAGGGGGTTTAGAGGTTTACAGTTTAGGGCTTTGGGGGTTTGGAGGTTTAGAGCTGTGGGGGTTTAGAGGTTTAGGGGTCTAAGCAGGCTTCCAGGCATGTCAGATCGAAAGGCAGGAGATTAACCTTTCTTTGGCCCGGCATGAAGCATGTTAAATCATATTACTGATATAGTAATATTGTACTACTATAGTACTATAGTCTTATTATAGTTTATAATTATGTAACATTACAGTCCTTGAACCTGTTCTCAGTAAGGCTTTCCAAGCTTTCCAAAGCCTTTTAAGGCCAATATCGACTCCTCTGAAACCCGGAAGTCCGCAACCCTAAACCCTCGTCGAACCCTTACAAGACCCTGCCAGCTCGTTTATCTGGGTAGTTGTTTCATTTAGGCAAGTTTGGGGTCCTTTTTGCAAGGGTGCCGTATTATTTTGTGACAGGGGGCCCTGATGTATAGAAGCCCTGGAAAAGCCCCGGACAATTCTTTTTGCCCTAACCTAGGGACCGTATAGGCTCTTACTCTAAGGTTCCAAAGGGACCCAATGATCAGGTACTTTGGTTGCGGATAGTAGTTATCTAGGTTAGTATTTGGGAGAGTATATGATTATTAGGTACTCGGACCCTTAGGGCTCTTTAGAACCGTCTGAGAACCTTACCTTTTAAGGCGACAGATCTGAGGTTGTCAGAACGTCGCAGCGGCGGATGCCGAGATGGCGCAGGTGGTCATGCGTCCGGTGTCTGGGCGAGGGAAAGTAGGTGCCTGCATATGTGGGTAGTTCTCTAAATTAGGATCCCGCTTTAGGTCCTCATACCCTGATGCAAGGGACCCCAATTTATAGAACAACCCATGTAGAATAGGATACCTGTAAGGGGGATCGATATAGACTACTACAAGGTCCTATGATGTAGTAGGCTTGATGCTGAGGATAGAGTCTCTTTGCGCTTTATTATGGTTCCGAACTATTCCGACATCTACACTCTGGGGCTGCGGTAGGATTGGGGGCAGTGGGTCCTTACAGCAAGTGTCCCAGTATTTGGGCTTGGTTGAGGTTGCTCTGTAAAAGAGGGTCTTCTGTTTCGAAAAAGCACGGCACTCTTACAATAAGCACCTTTGGATTGAGGGCTTCAGTCGGGATAAGGTTGCCACCATGCCCGAGAGGGAAAGCTCGAGTAGCCCCTTTCCACCGACAGAGGGAGAGAGAATCGGGGCCCTGGGACCTTCCCAGCCAAGTTTAGGGTTTAGGGCCTACTGGTTCGAGGGGCCAAGAATAGTGGTTTAGTGTTTAGGGTTTAGGGGTTAGGGGTTTAGGGTTCAGGGTTTAATAGGGTCCTGAATAAGTCCTATCGTCTTGATGGCTCTCTCTTGTTGTTGTTACCCCCAAGCTTTTTGAAAATGTTTCAGGTCCCTTGACCCTAAGCCCCAACAGCACCAGTTTCAGCAACCTTGACATCAAACGCAGAGTAGACTGCGAAGCATGTGCGCTCCAAGGTTCATTGAATGATATAAATGAAAGCATATGCATACCCTTCAGCAACATTTAAGCGAGTATAGAACCAAGGAGCAGAAAACGAAATCACGCCTGGCTATCTAGTAGTCCACGCAGATGTTCAAAAAAAACAGAGCAGTGCTATTGAAGCTTTCGATATCCGAGTTCACGGCTCCACCTGCCTCTACGGAACCTTCCTTTTTGTAGCATTGTGACAAATTTTCACCAGAGATCACAGCACAGCCGGAAAGGATCGCTTCCGCAGGGTGCAGGTTCCGGGTTACAGATGATGTAAACACCTTACTACCCATAGGCTCCTTAGTAGTTCCTTTTTGGGACTGCCTTCTAGGATTCTAAATATAAGCCACAAAAAGGAACTACTTAGGAGCCTATGGGTAGTGCTATATTACTTATCTTTCCATGGACGAGTGGTAGAACAGCGCTAGTTTGAGTGTAGGCCATGCACGGCTGCCCAGGAATTCTACGACAAAACGATCGAGAAGATGGATTTGTGGCCTTGCAGCATTGGTGCAGTTTGGCAGTATCAGGGTTGTGTTGGGCAAAGTGGGGCCGGCTGCTTAGGAGTGATTTTACACGGCCTTTTGCCACACTACTTCCAAATCCAGGCTGAAGTTCAGCTTTCCACCTGACTGATGCTTATGGTTCAGTAATAAATGCGCTTTGTCTTACAAATCTTTGGCAGTTTGCAAAGACATGTTGCATAGCAGTCTGCTGTCTCCAGACTCGCTTAAAGAGGCCTCCAGGGCCGTGGCGGCACGAACCAGTAGTAGTAGGAGGAGAGAGGGCTCATTAGCATATGTAGATAGACGGTAATGCACCCCGACGGCTTCTTCTGATCATCTCATTCGGAAGGCCCCTGCCCTACGAGCCATGAGATTCAGGAGACATTGGAAGTGAGAACGTGACAGCAGACTTGTTCGCTCATATTGCTGCTATACATTTTGCCAGCAATGGCATTTGTCGGTGCGGTGGTCAATCCTGTTGGGTTGAGTGTGCTGCGTCGGTTTATCTTCCCAATAGCATCATTGTCTTTGCTCAATACTGGACGCGCAGCATATTCATGTATTCGTAGTGGTCGTAGTCGTATTTGTCGTGCTCGGTCGTCGTCCTCGACGAGGTCGCCGTCGGCGCAGTAGTAGTGGTCGTGGTCGTCGTAGTACTGGTACTGGTCGTTGCTGTGGTCGTGGTGGTAGTGATTGCTAGCAGTTGTTGCTGTTGTTGCTGCTGACGCTGCTGCTGCTGCTGCTGCTGCAGTTGTAAGTGTGGTAGCAGCCGCAGTGGAGGTGGTTATGCTGTTTTGGCCGCGATATCCATCAACAACAATCTGAAACCATGAAAACCCTAAACCCTCAACCCCGAAACTCCTAAACCCTAAATGAAGGTGGGTCTCCGTGATCGGCGAGGCCGGCGGTGCCTTTGGCCTTGCGCCACCTGGAAGCACCGTCTACAGAGAGCCCAATACCCCCCAAATAAGGAATACACCTTAAATTATAGGGGCTAACATATTATGTTTTAAGGTATGCTCCTTAATTAAGGGATCCTAAACCCTAAACCCTAAACCCCTAAACCCCTAAACCCTAAACCTTAGGTATATTCCTTAACTAAGGGGTATTGGGCTCTCTGGGTCTACAGGGCCCTCTCAGGAGCTGAACCTCAGATCTGAGGCCTTCAGAGCCCTAAACCCTTAACCCCAAGCCCTAAATTAGGGTTTAGGGTTTAGGGTTTTAAACCCTAAAACCCTAAAACCCTAAACCCCAAAACCCTCAACCCTAAACCCCTAACTCCCCAAAAAAACCCTAAACCCCTAAACCCTATAGGGCCCAGATCATCTACAGGAGTTTCCCTTTTTTCGGCACCTTGAAGTGCAGCTTCTTGTGGGACGAGGCTTGGGTTTCCTTCTTGAGTTTTGAGTGACCCTAAACCCTACCTGGACCCCAAAAGTATGTAGAATAATAGCCTATTAGAGGTTTTGGGCCATTATTTTACTTACTTTTGGGGGTTTAGGTAAGCTTCATTGCCCTAATCCCAAGCACTCTTGAACGAGAATTTGGGCCTCTATCTGTGTCTGCTTCTTGTCCTCAAGGTGTGGAATGCATCACACGGTTGGCAGTAGACTGGAGCGGCAGATGGCTGTGTTCATGCCGCACTTGCAACCTTTTTCAACCCGAGCTTAAGCGAGGCACTCTACCCGTTGAGATTTTGGAGCTCAATGCCACCCGAAAATATTCTGAAGCCAAGGCCGGCGCACTGGTGCGTAAGCCTAAAGTCATACATCCCCAGAGAGCCTAATACCCCTTAATTAATTAAGGAATATACCTTAAATCATATTATTAAGGCCCCTATAATTGAAGATACATTCCTTTTTTAAACGGGTATTGGGTTCTCTGAGTACATTCCAAGAGCCCCTGACTCCAAACCGGCAAGCGAAAATCCCAGGTAGAGGCTGGAAAGAAACCCTTCAACAAATCCCTACATCCCCTAAGAAACCCTAAACTCTAAACCCCTAAAGCCCGCGAACCCGAGATCCCTAAAGAGCCCTAAAGAGAAAGAAGGACCTCAACAAAAGCCTACCGAGAGAGCCCAAGAATCCCATAATTAAGGAATATACCTTAAACTATAGGGGCCTTAATATTGTGATGTAAGGTATATTCCTTAATTAAGGGATATTGGGTTCTCCTAAAAGGTAATCCCAAAAAGGAACTACAAAGGAGACTATAGACAAGCCAAGGCAGACCACCTTCTTCGCCTTAACGCCCAAGAAGGCCCTCAAAAAAAAACCTGAACCCCTAAACCCCCAAAACCCTAAACCCTAAACGTAAGCCAAGGCAGACCACCTTCTTCGCCTTGTACCTTCTGCTTTGGTACACGCGGTATGGGGCCTACAAGCTCGAGGCGAAGCTCGAAGCCTCTTGGCCTCTACGCTTTTGAAATTTCCAGCCTCGAAAGTCTTACTACTACTACTACTACTACTACTACTACTATTAATAGTACTATGATTGCTATTAATGCTATAAAGACAAATACTTTGCTAGCACTACGATTACTATTAATGCTAAAAATACATTACTATCACTATGCTTACTATTAATGCTAAAAGAAAAATATGTTACTAACACTATGATTGCTTTTATTGCAAAAAGACAAAATATATTACTGTCACTATGATTATTATTAATGCTAGTACTATTGGTATTGTTAGTACTATCACGATGATCACTATGATAGTAGTGTTTTTGTTAGAAGGTCTCTTGGCAAGTGAGTAATTACTTACTACCATGGCGGGATCTTACAAGTTGGAGTTTCTTAAAGCTAGCGGTAGCAGAGTAGGTAAACTTAAAAGGGTTTAGGGGTTTAGTAGTATAGAGTAGGTGACCTTTAACTTTTTTGGGGGTTCCGTAATCCCCTGTATAATCGCCTGTATACTCCCAAAGGTTAGGGTTTACAGGTTTAGGGTTCCTGTAAAGGGGATTTTAGCAGTAGAGTAGGTAACCTTTGAACTTTCTGGGGTACCATAAGTCCCTGTATCATCCCAAGGTTAACCCTTCGTTCGCCAGGATTCTCGACAACTTGGCTAGGTGTTTTGGGCTTAAGGCTCCTAAGCCCTAAACCCTAAACCCAAAACCCCAAACCCACCCTCAAACCCTAAACCCCTGAACCCCTAAACCCCTAAACCCTAAACCCCTAAACCCTAAACCCTAAACCTCTAAACCCTAAACCCTAAACCCCTAAACCCTAAACCTTGATCCGTCGTTACTTCTTTTTGAAATTAAATGGGCCCAAGACTTCGTAGCTCTGAACTGGGAGCTTCCCGAGAAGCTACGTTTGATTATTAAAACAATCCTGCATTACTCATTATAAGGAATATACCATAATTCCCCATAGCTTAGGGTCCTTAGGGTAATGTAGGATTTATATCATGAACAGTACTGTTCCTGAAGGTAATACAGGATTTATATCATGAGCAGTACTTTAGGATTTCAGGGGCTTCTTGTTTTCGGGCTTAGGGTGCGGGATGTAGTGGAGGATCCTAATATTTGTATCGATATTTGTATCAGGGTTTAGGGTTTAGGGTTTAGGGTCCTGATATTTGTATCAGGGGCCCCAAGCTTCGAGACCCCCTTTGTGGAACCCCACACTCAACGCACCTGCTACCCAAAAGCCCTTAACTGAAGTCCTTACGCAGTATACTTCTTAGTTTAGCTGCCTAGAAAAATATCGACAGCGCCCCTCTGATCGTGAATCCCGCAACCCTGAACCGTCAGGCCTAAGTCCTAAACCCTAAACACTAAACCCCTAGACCCTGAACCCCTAAACCCCCCAAAAATCCCAAATCCTCAACGTGTTCAGGAAACCGTCCACCACCACATGCACAGTGCGGAGGCGGCAGCCGACCCAGAAGCTGCCAAGAGCCTCGGAGAGAATTTTTTCGTATTCGCCACCTTGCAAGCTCAGTAGCTGAGTAGGTATCCTTTAACCTTTTCGGGCTGATATAATCTTACCAGAATTGCAAGGTTAACCTTTCTGGGCTTATATAATCCTACCATAATTGAAAGGTTAAACCTTTTTTGGGCCAGGGTACTCAGCCCCTAAGCAAGGGTTTAGGGTGGAGAGCGTTGGCCTTCGGGCTTTAGGGAATTTGGGTTTAGGGTTTAGGGAGTTAGGGTTTAGGGGGATTTTTGATGTTTAGGGAATTAGGGTTTAGGGTTTAGGGAGTTAGGGTTCAGGGGGATTTGGGGGGGTTTAGGGAATTAGGGTTTAGGGGGATTTTTGGTGTTATAGGTTGTAGTGGTTTTTGGGGCTCTAGATGGGTTCATCTGGGCTTGATGAGTAGTCTTTGTGGGATTCAAGAGGGTTCGAGATATAGATTGTATCATCAAGTTTCAAGAAGGTTCCCTGAACCCTAAACCCTAAAGCCCTAAAGCCCTAAAGGCCTGCAGCCATAAACCCCAAAACCCGAAAGCCCTAAAGCCTTAAACATAGGGTTCAAGGAGCCTTCATAAGGGCTCTACACAGGTTCTTTTTGGGTGCCTTACAAAGGTTCTGTAGGGTTTAGGGTTGTGGCTTCCCTATACAGATTTATCATGAGTTACATCTAGGGGTCGGACCGACTAGCGATACATCTCTTTCCAGACTCTTTAGAAGTAAACCGCAACAAGATGCCCCAGCCTCGGACTCGGACTATTGAAACCTACCTCCACGTAGGGATGTTACGTTCAAAAGCTACTATTTACTATTGAGCTTCTTTTCCTGGGACTCGGGCTCCTCAAAGTACCTTCCAGATCCGTAAGTGCAATTTGTTGGCATGAGGCACGTCATGCCATGGCAGTGCGAACTGCGACTCTTTTGCTCCGCTGCGCGGTCCTCTGGGTAGTTCTCTAAATTAGGGTCCCTTTTTGGATCCCCAATGTAGTACGGCACCCTTATAATAACAAGGACCCTAAACGGGACCCTAATTTAGACAGCTACCCATAAAAAAACCCATTGGGATTTCTTTCTCAAAAATGGAAACTGGAAACAGCTGGGGACCTTGGTGCCCTGAGCCCTAAACCCGAAAAACCCTAAAACCCTAAAGCCCTAAAGCCACAAAGCCCTAAAGCCCTAGGTCCCCCTGAACCCTAAAGCTGAGAAGCTCCGAGGCTTCGAATGTCAGAAACATTCGGCGAGTGCGGGCAATTTCTCATTTGGTTCCTTGTTGTTTAAGGGTTTAGGGTTTAGGGTTCTTGGTTTTAAGGGAATGGGTTTAAGCCACCATAGAAGTTTGGGGTTTAGGGTTTCTGAGAGAATCAGTTTAAGCTACCATAGATAGGGATCTATTGTAAATAGTAGAGTTTCTTTATTACCCAGAGATCCCGATACCCCTGTGCCCTGAATTACAGGGACCTAATAGTCTGATTTAAGATCTTTTCCTGAATTAAGGGGTATAGGGATCTCTGGGTATGGGAGCTGAAGTTAATTCCCGTAACAAGAGCCCAGTCATGGAATGCGAAACCGACGTGGGAGTTCTTGATGGGGTTGACAGGGTGTTATGGGGGTTATGGCTTAGGGTACTTAGGGCTTAAGGTGTATAGAGTTATGGCTTAGGGTACTTAGGGCTTAGGGTTTAGGGTTATGGCTTAGTGTGCTGAGGGCTGAGGGTTTAGGGACATGGCTTAGGGTACCTAGGGCTTAGGGTTTAGGGTTGTGGCTTAGGGTTTAGAGCTTTGGTCTTAGCGTTATGGCTGAGGGTTTAGAGCTTAGGTTTTAGGGTTATGGTTATGACTAAGGGTTTAGAGCTTAGATTTTAGGGTTTAGCGTTGCTTTAGCTGTTTGCATAAAGTTTCCTGCCCAAAATAAGGTAGACCTCAATTCCCACACACTTCATGTTCGTTTAAACCATGACTAACCCCCCCAGGTCCCTACTATATAGGTTACTAGAGCCCCTAGGGCCCTATATAGTATGTACCTGGGGGGTTAGGGCATGACTCTGATTCTATCTCCTTTCCGGCCGTTCTGACGCCGAAGCCCTAGACCCTCAACTGCAACGGTATAAACTCAAAATCCTGAACCGCTAGGACCCAGAGTAGGCCCTTATTCCCTTTTGAGGGTTCAGGTTCCCTTATAAAGTCCTTGAGCCCAAAAAGGGGGCACCCTTTTTGTTCCTAGATTTCTCTTGGGTCTAGACCCTAATGTCAACTCTTGATGAATAAACCTACCTTGCACGGGGGGTGGGGGGGGGTTATTCAAGAGTTCCCATTTAAACTCTAAACCATGACCTTTTCACCAGTGAAGCCCAAAACCACAATTTGTCAACTCCAGGAAGCCTGTTCCAGAGTCGAAAGCCATGACAGACGACCACTTTGTGCGGCCTGTGCGGCCCGTCACGCAGTTAGGTTGGAGGCTTAGGGATTTACAGGGTTAAAGAGGTTTGGGGCTTGGGAATAGGGGGTTAGAGTGTAAACCCTATGTCCTAAACCCTAAACCGCTTGGGATGTAGTTATCCGCGCTCGGGGTGCAGATTTAGGTGGCAGGTATTGTGTCGAAATCTCTATAGAGTCCCTTGTGGTATCCCCAAGAGGACCGACACCGAGGCCGCTTCCAGATGATTTTCAGGGGTTTTGGGGCGGAGATCACCCTGAATCCTGGCTGAAGACACCCTACACCCAAGCCCAAGCCCAAACCCTAGGGTTTAGGGTTCAGGGTTTAGGCTTTAGGGGTTTTAGTTTCGGTGAACCCTAAAACCCCCAAGCCCTGCACCCCCCAAGCCCTTAAGCCCTTAAGCGGCAGCCCTCTAGAAATCCCAGACCGAGCCACCAAGGCTGGGCATCGAAGATGCGAGTCTCTGAGTTCCTGGGACATCTCCCAGGGCGCTAGCTCTCAGGGTTGGTTTGGCGCTTCAGGTTCAGGGTTTAATAAAATGTAGCACAAAGAATTACCAAGGTTAAACCTTAGGGTTCTTTAATTGCAAGTTTGCTACAAAACGAGCCCGAAACCCTATTCTAATTCTTTAGTCCCCTATAGTAGGCTTCAGGGTTTAGGCTTCGGGGTTTGGGGTTCGGGGCGTGCGGTTTAGGGCTTATAGGGTTTAGGGTTTAGGGTTCAAGTTCTCTTTAACGGTTGCAGTCTAGAGTGGACTCTCTACTGCTTTTAGGGCTTTACGGCTCTAGGGCTACGTACTATAATAGGGTCCCCTTTAAGGGTACTGTAGGGTACTATAATAGGGTCCCTTTTAAGGTACTATAGAGTACCATAATAGGAGTCCCCTTTACGGTCTTGAGGTTAGGGCTTCGAGCTTCGCAAGACTTTCTGGGCTCAAAAGCAGCTCAGCCACCCCTGAGCTCGTGGGTCGTTGGACTCATACCGGGCCTAGGGCGCTGATTCGGGTGCTGTGCATGTTTATGTGTGTAGCATACATGTGAACCCACTCA